ATGGTATTACAGCCCCTTTCTTTTCTTTGTCCAGCACGCATCATTTCATCTGTTGCATCTGATGGTGGAACGGTGGATTACAAACTTGGTGTAAAATTGTTTCTGCCCTTGATCGATTTTCAGTCAGACCTACTTACAGACAGCCATAACTCCTGAAGACAACAACTAATGTTCTATCATCAATCGTAATGTTATCAACCAATTTTTCCCATATATGAGACAATAATGACCTCTCACTGAAGACAATGTTACCAGAACTCATCTTAGAGTTATTCATCGCTGCCTGCTGTTTTCAAATTAGTTTTCATTACATGTTGATGGAGCGGGACTTCCCCCTTGGGCCACTCTAATCCATCACATCTCTCTATCAATGACATCCGTGTCTTTTTGTTTTGCTCTCTAGGTAGCAAATTCACCGGCACTTCTAAACACATACCTACACACAGATGAGATGCAACAAGTCAACAGATTTTCTTATATCAAATTCGAAACGTATCCGTGCAGTATGACTAAAGCTGAATCTTGTATAAAGTGGTCAGCAGTATGAATGTAGATGAGCGGTGGAGGTGGACAGCAAAAGATGGAGGCTAAATCAGTTAACCAGTGCTTCTATCTCCACAAGACATAAGCAATTACCATCAGTGTCCACATCTGTTATAATCTGGATGAAGATAAGCAGCAGACAGTTGTTCCAGTGTAATTTATCAAGGAAAGCTGATGCAGCAGGTACCACATCCATATATCAGACTTATATATGGGACAATATAACTGGCTCATCTTGCTTTGCAAATAAAAAGTTGCTGGTTCAATTCTACAAATTCCCATTGAGGCTGAGTTAGGAAGAACATCTAGTGTAAAATTCAATTTAATGAGCGGCCCCTTGTGGCAAGAGAGCAGCTGGAAGTAGCTTTTTGATGCTGTCCTCTCACAGATTTAGCCGAGTAAATTTTTTAACAGAACTAATGAGGACGTAATTTAACAGTTGTGTCATCGCATAGTTCTTCAAACGGTCTCAGGATCTCGGTCTGCAGCACATGTAGCAGAGCAGCAGTACAGCTGAGGAGGTGGAGTCAAGCCGTGTGTCCTTGTTAAGTAGTCACTAAACAATGACCCTGTTGTTTTACCTTCCCTTCTTTGTGTGGCTTCTCTCCAGGTTGTCCGACTTCCTCCCACAGTCCAAAAACATGCTTGCTAACTGGCGGTTCTAAATTGGCTCTAGCTATGAACATGAGTATGAATGCTTGTCTGCCTCCTTGTGTTAGTCCTGTGATGGATAGAGCTGTCTAAGTCACCTGCCTCTTACCCAGTAACAGCTGGGATAGGCTCCAGCCCCCCTCATGTTCCTGAATTGGGCAAGCAGAAAATGAATGGATGGATGAAGTTCATAACTTAGTGTTGGGTGTTTTTACCAATATTTGTCAATATCAGTGTGGGCAGTCAAGAACCCATTGCTTAGTCAAGCCAAGTATGGCAATGGCCATGTTTTTGGGGCACCCTCCTGTTTCAAATGGTAGTCATTGTTTACAAATGCAGATTATTTCTGAAACCTAATAAAAAGTCAGTGTTTGACACACTCATTTCAGCAAATGTAAGCACTCTTTTGTTGTCCACACACACTGCTTACCTTCCTGCAACGAAAGCCTGATCAAACGTGATTGGTCAGTGGAAATCAGACTACAAGCAGAGTGGTACAAAAATCCCTTACCTTGCCTATAGACTCTACATACAGGCCAGGCAAAGGCAAGACAAAGTCCAACACTGACACTATTCTAATAACTACCACGAATAGTAGGCTGTATTTACATGTAGCATGGGATCTTATTAAATTCACATCTATTGTGTGTACATGTAAATGTCCAAAGCTCAGGGAAAACCCCATCTTTATCATGCTTTCTGTAATAAAAGATACTGAAATCCATGAGGATCCGCATGTGTGTGTGTGTGTGTGTGTGTGTGTGTGTGTGTGTGTGTGTGTGTGTGTGTGTGTGTGTGTGTGTGTGTGTGTCATTCTACTGTCCCGTACATTAAGCTAAGTGCTCCTCAGCTCTACAGCAGTAGTAAATGGAGTCTTATGGCTCGGGGCTTGGAGGGGGCTTCTCAAGTCCAAATCAAAAGCAGAGTGTGTCCCAAACCCCAGGTCACTGCTTCTGTGAATCATCAAGTTCAGAGGAAAAGGATAGAGGCTTTTCTTTTTGTTTGTGTGTCTGAGCGTGTGCGTATGTGTTCCCCTTCACGTTTTTGTGTTGTGCATGTTTTAGTACACAGTGTGTGGATCATTTAAAATCTTACTCTCTGTCATTTGTCCTGAACATGATGCATAGCCAGCGTTACAAACATGTCACGGTGCACAACCAGGCTGTCCTATTCACTGCACGTCCTTCGTATTAACAGGAAAAGCGATTGATTTAAAAAAAAAAAGTTTTTGAATAATGAAAGTAAAGAATTAGATGCACTGGATGTAACACATCAAAGAGCTTGCTTGTAGATGTTTTCTGCAGTGGACGGTGTTCTGGTGTCTCACTGGTTTTGCTGGTGTAATTTGCAGCTGCAAACGATGTGAATACTGAAAAGCTGAATATCCCTGTGCTTGCATCACTCTGTATTTTCCTTCTTTCCCCCCCTTGCCTCATTTTCTCCAGGAGTCACTTGCGGGTAGTATCTGACATAGCAGCGAACTGTCAGTTGCTATATCATGCTTAATCTAAAGATCCTCGGTATCTCTTAACAGCCTGTGATCGGTTATGTAATTATTATAACGGGACTGCACACCCTTTGTGTGGTGTTCATCAATACTATTATTCCCTCTGTGGTCTTTAGTGAGATGAAAGAAATTAGCATTTCTCTTGCTCAAACTGCATTGGGAATTCAAAGGCTTTACTCACTGCTCAGGTTACTTCACACTGTCAAATTAAGCTTAGCAGCTTGCAAATGAAGTAAGAACCAGCAATGGGATGCTGAAATGAAAATAAATGTGAAACCTGAATATTAAGCAAAATTGTGTACAGCAGTTAAGAGTGTATTTAGATATGGGATCGATGCTAAAGTGTGAAACCCTTTTCCCATTTGTGTCGTCTTTTCCAGAGTAACCTGTTCATGAAGCAGTAGTTTGACAGAGAATGTGACAGAACAAGAGAGACAATCAGAAATTATGACCTGCACTAGTATGAGCATCTCTGGCTCCCGGTGCATGGCTGCAGGTGATCAGATTTCAGTGTTGTATCATGTGTCCGCTGAGTTCATTATGCTGGAGTTGTGCCTCTGCACTCCTTTAAGGAACTTCACTCTTACAGGAAAACACAGTACTCCTGGCAACTGAAAATCCGCTGCAATTAACATACGATTTATCTGCTGTGCTCTTATTGGTGATCATCAGGAAAGCATGAAGATTTTGGTAAGGTACCCTTAAGGAATCCATTGAGTATCACTCACAGGGGAATCACTTTGATCAGATCCCCTGACCCCATCGTTGTTGCCCTATTAGTGATCCAAGTGAAGACTGGTCAAGAGCTGAAAATCAGTTTTACACAATACAGGCAATTTGTCACAGCACTTCTTTTTATTTTAATGCACCTTATTTTGTAAGGTAAAGTTCATGGTTTGAAGATCATTTATGATTCATTTTCTTGATTTAAACCCTTTCATAAAGCTCTCCCTTGCCTGATTAAATCCAAAATCAAATCAAATTGGGTAAGATAATATGGTGACAGTTGATGCCAGTAAGACAACAGTGTGTTAGTGCAATAAAAAGGGTTGAATAAAAAAATGTATTGGTGATGTGGACTGTGTGCGTATTTGTGTGTCTGTTTGGCTTCATTCTCAGTGCCGTTTGTTTGTTGAACTGGCAAATATACACATAAACTACTTCACCAAAGTTCATGAAACCTGGTGGAGAGGTGGGGTATTGGACAAGGATTAAGTTAATTATGGTTCAGATCTGTTAAAACTGACAGACAAGCCTCTGGCGGGGGTCCCCAGTACTCCGGCTGTATGTGTGAGTCGCTGAATTGCCTCCCAACAAGAATAATCAGTAGTTCCCAACATTTGTAGAACTTCAGATTATTTTATTGTTAATCTATGTTATTATTCAGTGGGCGCTGATTGTTTTCCCTCATAATATCACAAACATCAACTACACAGTTTAAAAACAAATATGAAGATATCATTTCTACCAAGTGTAGGGACGTGGAGGAGTGTTAATCTCAGGGTGTGCAGTTAGTGGACTGTTGTTTTGGTTTGTGAATTGCCTCTACTGGATGCAGACTTGTGTATGTTTATGTATGGATATAAGTACTGATAATGATCAAACAGCATAAAAGGTGTGGGATTGGAAAAAACCCACCTGATACTTCGTGTTTACAATGCACTTTTTTGCAGTCAATCATAATTTTGCACCAGTTGTACTGACTATATAAACTACAGATTTTCTTCCACAGCTTCCGCATGTCCTGAAAGCGACAGACTATAAAAGTACTTTAGCGACGATGTTTGCGAATAACTTTCAGAGAGATGTGTGGCTCACAGTACGATTGTGCTTGCAACATATCGACCATTTTCTGAGAAGTTATCTGAGGTAAACCGGGCGCTGAGGAGTCGGTCGGTCAGCACCACGGACAGAGGCGAGATTTCGTTAAAATGCGTTGCGCGGCTTCAGGATCCACTCTGCATAACCAAGGTGAGCTCCCACACAGCTCCACTTTTATGAAAATGGTTAACTCTGAGAACAGACGGAGGGGAGCTGAGTTGCAAGAATCTCTGCTGTTCACAGAATTTAGATGTCGGGGTATTTTTGCAACTTGTCTTTCGAAAGAAGTGGGAAACTTTCCCTTAAACATATCTTTTCGGCTCAAATGGGCAGGCGTCAACTCCCACAAGTCCTACAGTCTGTGTCTTGTAACTATCCCCCAAGACTGAGCAAGTAGTTCGCATACACACGAACATACTGGGCTGCCCTACAGTGAATGTGCGCAAACCTTTCTCATCTGTTTAGCATTCATGCGCTGCAGTGCTGCGCGTCAGTCACCTAACTAGATTGTTCCATCAGACGGAATTACCCGCATCACTCAATGAAATACAATTATTGATTACACCGGCCCTCCCTCTCCCCAACCACCACCTCTGTTTTTCGCTCTCTGCTTTCCCTGAAGTGCTGCAGCGAGAGAGGACCGCATCGAAAAAGAAAGAGAGAGGGAGAGAGAGAGGGAAAAAAAAGAAAAACAGTCGTGCGCCGGCAGTTTCCTCTGATCCTATTCTACAGTAAAAAGCCCACAAGATTTTTTTTCCTTCTTCTTTTTTCTTTTTCCCGAGAGCAAAAGCAGAGTCCGGTGCAATGGCTCACAATCAGCTCGGTCCAATTTTCTCGCCATAAATGACGGTAAGTAATGACTTTTTTTCCCACCCTAAAAACATGCTGAGTGTAAGACTTCCGAGTTAGACAATTCTCTTTTCGCCTTTTGTATCTAATATGGGGACACACAAACACACACACGTACACACACACAGACACGTGCGACTATCAATTTATTAGCACATTTTCAGTGATATTTCTGACTAAAATGAAAGCTGCGACTCAGGGACAGGTTATTTTGTATTCGCGAGTTCATGATTGAATGGTTAAAAGTTGGGATTATTTCCCTGACTTCACATTTGCCTCATATAAGAGTAAAGGCAAATTATCCTGAAGTAGGCTGCGAGCATAATTAACTAATGGGATGTAGTGGGGATTCATCCCCGGTTTCAGTGTGTCTTAGATTGTGAGATTTAGTCAAATCTATGTCAGATATACTCGAATAAAGTCTGTTTAGTTTTCCTTTCGGCTCATGAGCTGGTGTGCCCATCTTTGTGCTATCATAAAATAGTTGTCCTTGGCATGAGCCGAGCTTTTTTGGGGTTTGTTGACTGTGGACTGTTCACGCTGTACTGCAATCCAGCCACCTGCCCTGGGGCAGTTAAAGCACTCTGCACTGCCGCCAAAAAGAGGAGAGGACGCGGGAGTAGGCAACTGACTCATCCATGAATTGTACCTCAAGAGGCAGCGAGCGATTGACAGGCGCACAGCCGGTGAACTGGAAATCTGTGGCAGAGTGCTTTGTTTGCAGTCCTAACGCCGCTTGTAGTAGTCCTGCTGGGTTAACACTGAAGGGCTCCATCAGTGAAAACACGCTGGATGGAAGTGATTGCAAGCTGCAAAATTCAGTCGTTTGGCCCACTTGTCATTGTTTCTAAAAATCGATATATACCTGATAAACAAAAGTCTCTCTGGGATTCATAACATCCTCTTCCCTGTGTCTCCACTACAAGCACCCATTGATTCCTAATTTTGTTCCTATTCTGAAGTTCAACAGCAATGAAAAGATGTTTTGAGGTGGAGATAGTTTCTGTTGCACTGTTTTGCTGTATGCTGCAAAGAAGAAAGGACTCCAAAGTGTGTCTGATAATGCATGTCACAGTGTAGAAGAGAGAAGAAGGTCTGTCAGAACATTTTGTTGACTAACGTGAAAGTAGATATCCACCACATTCATCATTATTTTAGTTTAAACCAGCAGTTTTGCTCTGAAGAATCCTCTTTTTCACTCTCATGTTAGCCTAAATGTGCGTGTGATTGTGGCTTCATTTATCTTTTTGTAAGCACACATATGCACCATGCAAAGGTAAAACGTCACCAGTAACTGTGTAACATATTGCATCCCTTACCTAATCTGAATTGTTGCATCATTACGACCCAGCAGACAGGGTTTGGACTAGACAGGAGTGGCATGTGATATTTCATAAAGAAGATCAAACACGTATCAAGTTGAAAGAGAAAAGCAAACGAGACGACACACTTTGCTGTGTGTAGATCAGTCAGGGGTTTCTTTCTGTCTTTAGGTTTTAGATTTTCGATGCTTGTACACTCCTGAATGCATTTCTGGAGACATTAATTGTTTCAGTCTAAGTAAGAAGAGTCAAAAGAATATAAATTATGTAAGAATATAAACAAGGAATGACACTTTTTTATAATCTCCAGGCTTGAGATAACAGTGACTGAAGTCATTCTAAATAATAACAATGGCAGCTCTTCATGTTTGAGAAGGAAATAATCAGCTTGCTGCAGACCCATTTTTGTGTATTTGTATTGATATATTTTTTATTCATCATCTGTGATCTGTGGTGGATCTTTGAGTGCTTCTAAGCTGCTGTTTTTTTACACTCCACGAGGAACAATTTCTCCTATACAGTACAGCCATTGTCCTCTGTCTTCCCCTTCGCTTGCTCAGTAATGGAATCAGTGTTTGATGAAATCTCCTAAGACGTCACGGGCCGGTTGGGTTTCTGCCTTCCAGATGAGGTCATGGACTCTCCGTTTTTATGGGATTACATGATGTGGCTCTGCCCACTTTAGCGATTGGACCTGCTTTTCTCTTTCCTCCTTTTGGTAATGGAGCAAACCACCGGTCACACCATCACAGTGCTTACGCACGTCTTTGAAAGGGAAGGTCGCTTTCTCCGTCAAGTCATACTTGAGAGATGGGAGGTCTTTATGATTGTGCTTCAACAGTACAAAAACCCACTAAATCTTCAAAATATTTTACAAAATGTGGGAAAAAAGTTCTTCTGAGTTAAGGGGCCCAAATACGTCCACTTCATGTGAACAAAATACACAGGTCAAAAAGGTGAAGTGCCAGTATTGTGCCCTCATAGCTGTGCCACTTTTCCCCCTCTTTTTATTTTCTAAACATTTTTGGAATATATTTCTGCCTCCTGCACTCTATAAAACCGATTCTTATAAAATCAGATTTAAGAATGAGAAGGAGACCACAGCCCTCGTTGTTTTGCGTAATTCTACTTACTCATTGTACTGTGAAAGAGACAAAGTCTGTACTAAATAAGCACACATATCCAAAAAGGTCACTATTGATTTTATTTCAAGTACATTAAGTGTTTGCCTCCACAAGATGTTGTGGGTCAGGGAACCTGAAATCCAGGGACAGAAATTGATCCTTTTATTTTGTACTAACAACCTGCTTGCACCTGCTCAGTCTGTTTGTCGGCCGCTGGACTCGCGGTTGATTCGTTCCAACACTCACATCAATCCTTTTGACAAAGTGCAATGTGAGTAGGAAGCCCTCACTGTGCTGATAATTGGTTCATTATGTTTTAGGTTGTTTTCACTGAGGCTGTTTATTACTATTGTCATCATTACTGTGTAATCTCGTGTAATTAATATCTTTTTGTTTTCTGTCAAAATTCACATTGCTTGGGTTAATCACTGTGCCACTTATGACGAATGTTTCACGGTAAGCAACAGCAGTATGTTTAAATGCATTAAGCTTATCAAACACACAAACTCTGGATAATAACACTAATCCCCCCCTCCTTCTGAGATTAGCTGTCCTCAGTTGGACGCATGGATAAATCTCTTGAAGCACTAATCTCTCAGTTTGTCTTTATGTCCATGGCAGATGAAATTCAAAGGCCAAGTGATACTTGACCTAGCGATTTTTCTATTTTCTTTTACTATTTTAAAGAGGTCTAAGAAAAGCAAGGCCACCATCCATCATGCAGACAAGAGGTATCGCCAGAGCCAGGCCTAATTTCAGCCACCCTCTCATGGTTCAGAGCAGCACAGTATATTAGCTCTTTTTATTTTAATAGCAGGGAACAGTTTCCCATGTGACACTGTATGGATACTGTTCCATTCATTTTCAGGACATTTCATTAACATTACAGTGGCTCCTTATAAGTATAAATATTCAGCTGCAGCTTTAAAACCACCTATCATTGCACAGAACCTCTGGGGGTCCCATGTGCTGTCTGGCACTTGGCCGTTGCCATTGGGGAGTGCCATAGCCATCCAAAGTATCCAACCCCATGAATGTCTGGACAAAAGTTTTCCCAGCAGACCACTGCACTACAATAAAACGATCAAAAATATTCACTTCACCTGTCAGTGGTTTTGATGTTGTGGCTGTTGAGATGGCCAAGTGTTATGAGGAAATCAACATGCCTAAAATATAAACCTACATAAAATATCAGAGGAACTGCAAAAAATAAAGAAGATCGCGTAGAAATAAAATAAAACAGAAAACTTAGGTTAGGCACAGTTGGTGGTTTCCCCAGCTAGAATGCGATTGCTCTTGCTGTCTCCGGTATCGGGGTCTCTTCAGCTGCGGTCAGGTGAGGTCGGTTGCCTCTGTGCTCGGGTGTCTTCTGAGCCTCATCACCACTGACAGCGTGTCTCACCATACACTCCATTGATTCTCTGACAGGCAGCCTCGTGCAGCGCCTGCGTGTGCCCGTTTTAGGTAAGAGCCTGTGTGATGGCTGACACGACTCAGTCCTGAAAGAAATAAATAGTTCTCTGACACCTGTGAACTTTGACTTGCTCCTTGCAAGGTGTTAGCCTTCTGAGGAATTCACAATTCATTTTTACTTTTTGATGTTTTCATGCATAAATGCTCAAGGAGAGCCGTTTGGGGGAAACTAGGAAACTGATGCCACAACCTCAGCCCTTTGTATGTTATTTTTTGACAAAGGAGACAGATTGATTATGCGCGTCCTTATCTGAGGAAGCACCAGTGTCAATGGAGGCATTAAAAATTATCAGAAAAGGGAGCACGCTCGTAACCACAGAAGTTATCGTATGCGCCAAAAGGGATTAGTAGAGTCACCTTGAAACTGCGGTGTCATTTTGCCCAGTAAAATTGCATTATAGGAGCTGGAACCGGCCCTGTGATTTGTGTCCTCCTGACAAGGCTTCAGTGTTCATTAGAGGCTGTGGCGAGCCACTCGTAGTCACATGGAAACCCCACACACTGGACAGCTCTGACCATCCCCACCCTGCTCATAAATATGCACTCCATAGCATCTGCAAATGTTTCATAATAAAAAAAAAAGAGCAATTCAGGGTTTTGTAATTTAAGAGAAATTTAGAAATTCTTTGATTTGTTTAACCTGGCTGATGATGAGAGCGGAGCACTCACATGAAATCATGATACATCATTTTAGCGTTTAAGCTGGGGTCTCCCTCCCATCACTAGTCTGCAGAGATGGGAAGTGGCTTCCCCGCGCCCATGTGTGTTCACACTCACTTATGTGCACGACATGTTTAGGAGTGAGAGATCTTCTTTCTAGGGATGTGTGCCTTTTGCAGGTACATATATATTTGTGCAGCTTTTCAGGCACTTTATTTGAGAATAGTTCTCGTCTGTGATTGTTTCTACACTGTGTCTGTCTGTGCATCCACTCACGGTCATTCCTCCTATCCTCCCGTCTTTACTTGGATTAAAAATGACAGTGCCGTTCCAGTTGGATCGTCGCTCCCGTTTTAATGAACCGGGTCTTTATTGGGGACAAATTGATTTTTGGGCAGAGTGCTTGTTTATTAGCTCCTGCTTTACAGAGCTGATCATGAGTCAGCAGGTTCAGCATCTCTGTTTCAAATAATCATCTCTTCAAAAACTGAGGGCAACTCATGAGATGTAGAACAAACAGCCCGCCTTTGGAGAATGAATTTTTATTTTGAATGGAAATTTGGGGCAATGCAGAAAAGCCAACGATTAACGGGTTAGTTAATGATAGTGGGCGGACATGATGAGCATCTCTTGTGTCTGATTTTATTTCTCTTTAAACTCTGATGCTTCTCGACTCTTCTTTTTTAAAAATCTGTCTGTTGCTTCCCCTCCCCCCCTGTCTTTCAGACTGGTCCATGATTGCCACAGCCATTGTGGTTAATCTCCTGTGGTGACTGCAGACTCAAGAGTTTCCTTCCCACATCCCAAGACCCACTGATCTCACCATTCCTCTAACTCGCCTTTACATTTGCCCCTTTTCCCCTCTCTTCCCTCTTTCTTCTACTTCTTGCCACCATCAGCACCCCTGCAAAGGCCTACTTTTGGAGCCAAAATGGAGGACACTTACAATAATAGGACTTCCCTAGTTAAGGGGGCCAAGGACATTGTCAAGGAGGCCAAAAAGCACGCAACAAAGAAAGTCAACAAGGCGGTAGACCGTGCTACAGATGAGTACTCTTCTCACCGCAACTACACTCGATTCCAGGACGAGGTGGATGAAGATGAGGATTTCTACCAGAACCCGCCGAGGCAGGACGGCGAGAGCTACCCCGACAATGAGGAGGGCTCAAGTGATGCTACAGAGGGCCACGACGACGAGGACGAGATCTATGAGGGCGAGTACCAGGGCATCCCCTCATCCGCAGGAGACAAGAAGCAGGGCCAGGTGGCACTGGGGAAGCCGATGTCTGATGGCACAAAGGACCGTGGCGAGCTGGAACAGGAGAGGCAGGCGGATGAGGAGGAGCTGGCCCAGCAATATGAGCTGATCATCCAGGAGTGTGGCCACGGCAGGTTCCAGTGGCAGCTGTTCCTGGTGCTCGGGCTGGCACTCATGTCGGATGGGGTGGAGGTGTTTGTGGTGGGCTTTGTGCTGCCCAGTGCAGAGACAGACATGTGTGTGCCCAACTCCAGCTCGGGATGGCTAGGTAAGGCCCTTCTTTGTATTTGTTTTGGATATTAATGCACTCGCTTCATTATTAATTCAGCAAGGCCTTTTCTTAGTGTGTATTTTATTCTGTTTAATTAGTTATTATAAGTCTGAAAGGCCTTTTTCTCACCTTTGAATAGAGTTTAAATAGCACCCTACGATGTACAGCTGCATCCTTTCCAGGATCATTATAAAATTAACAACTGTGCACATGTTTGAAATGAGTACACAGCATGCAAAAATAGCCTCAAAACAGCCTTGAAAAACAGGTCCAGATGTATGTGTTTGTGCTATACACAGTATGTCACTCTTATCCTATAGCAGTGTTTCACATAGATGAGGCGTTTCGGTCCAATGGTCTCCGTGTCAGGATTAAGAGGGTAGCTAATATTCCCTGTGTGCTCTGTGGGTTGAGGTGGAGTCTCAGCAGTACCAGTAGCTGCAGGTGCATAATCCATCACCACAGAGCTGTGTACAGGGGCTGACTCACTGTGTCAGTACCAGAGTGGAGAGGACATTCAATCAGGCACACAGCCCTTAGATACTAACTGCCACGGTGAGACGTGACAATACATCAACTTCACAGCAACACCTGATGGAAAACTGATACGCGCTTTGAAAATGGAGGTTGTGACGGAAAGTTTGACAAATACTATTGTACTGCTGCTTTATTTAAGAAAAATGTACTGTTGGTTGTACTTGCAGCAGAGTCATCTTATCAACAAAAACACTACTTTGTTAAAGCCTCACAAGATGTTGTGTACGCTGCACCTTCATTTTTCTGTCTCTTTCCTTGGTATCAGTGTAAACTCTTTGCTTCCTTTCTTGCCAAGCAAAGTCCTGCAGGCATTTTTGCTCTATGCTCTGCTTCTCCTTGTTCGTGACTCCATCCCTCACCCCTGTCCCTCCCCCTCACCCCCCATTCTCTGTGCTTTTCCTTTCTTCTCCCATCCTCCTCTTCCTCATCCTGCTGATTAGCCCGAGGCTCCTCCCTGTTGATTGGTGTGTGTGTGTGCATGCGTGTGTGTGTGAGTGTTTGAGCATAGCCTACATAATTACCATGACCTTGTTGGTATCCATTCGGAGTTTAACACACTAATTACACTTAATTAGAGGTAACAAAATGGTGTCAACTGATGTTTTACAGGTGCCACAGCTTTTTTTTTTACTTCCTTTAAGTGCAGAAATTCAAAAATGAACTTTAATCTGCAGATGAACGAGAAGAAATTCTGTTTTTTTAAGTTCACTGGGTAACGAGGATCTCATCTTACAGTGACAGCCTTAGATGGACTGACATCGTCTTTCAGAGCACTTTTACACCACAGCCCACATTCACTACTTTATTTTTCACACACTCACGCTCCAGTGGATGGACGTTTCTGGGGCATTTTTGGTTACCTTCTTTTGGCCAGTTACACTTTAACATGCAGACCAGGAGAGCAGGGATCTAATCAAGGACCTTCTAACTGGCCACAGTTGTCTTACCATGAAATAGCCTCTTTTTGGTGGTCTGCGGGTAAGGACTGAGGATCAGTTTAACCTGTGGTCCATACAGCTTGGTCTGTAGGTTCAGTTATCACACTTGGCAGATTTATCAGCATGTGAAGCTACTTAGGTTTCATTTAGATGAGGCTGGTTATGGTTGCATCTGCATTATACCCTCAAGGTCACTCTTCTGGAATGGTGGATGTGCACTCTCACTACACTCAGTCTTCTCAGTATGTGTTTCATCTCTGTCACAGTTAAAGTAAGTACATATTGCTTCCAAAATAAGGTCAACAGTACAAAAATGAACCTAATCACTGATCTACTATGAATGTAGTTGGTGATTTATGTTTTTCAATTAAATTAAATTCAAATTTATTTATACAGCTCCAAATCACAACAACAGTTGCCTCAAGGTGTTTTATACTGTAAGGTAGACCCTACAATAATACATACAGAGAAAATCCCAAGAATCATATGACCCCCTATGAGCAAGCACTTTGGCAACAGTGGGAAGGAAAAACTCCCTTTTAACAGGAAGAAACCTCCAGCAGAACCAGGCTCAGGGAGGGGTGGGGCCATCTGCCATGGCCGTTTGTGGTTTGAGAAAGAAGACAGGATAAAAGACATCCTGTGGAAGAGAGCCTGAGATTAATAACAAGTATGATTCAATGCAGAGAGGTCTATTAACACAGAAATGTTACTGAAGAAAAAAACCCAAGTTTTAATTGGGTTATTACAATAAATGCACATTCTGCTATTTATGTGCTTTCTGATTTTTGTTTATATGCGGTTAAGTGTTTCAGAGGAGGCATTTGGACAATAGTAGAGTTAAAGTGGAGGCTGACATCCTCAGGATTAAGAAACTAAAAATTACCCAAAAATATATGAAAAATTAAGAAATTCTAAAGATTTGAAAAACCAGTTTGGTGTTTGGTTCGCTCTACCAGACTTCATCACAGTTTGAGTGCAGCTTCATTGACTCCATAGAAGGCAGAGGCAGGAGCATGCTGTAAAGACCGCTGAATATAATGGGATAATGCAGCATGAAAAAAACAGAAAATCCCAAATAGGATGGATGAGTAAGATGCTGATTCCATTACTGAGTTGAATTTGGTCCAGCCGGTTTTCCGATCTCACAGGAATCTTTTAATGTTACTTCAGTGTGAAAGATGAAGTACTGGGCTATAGGAGGGGGTGAAATACTGTAAATACCTCAAACAAGAGTGGAGGGTGTGGGAAGTGGGAAGCAGGAGGGAAGACACGCACGCTGAGATGCAATATGTGGGATAAACGGGGGACGACGAGAGGAGGAGAGATGGCTTTGAAGCAGCGAGATGACCAAGTTACATGGGAGTAATAGGAAGAGTGCTGTGGGTGGACGGGTGCAGAGAGGTGGAGGATGGTAGTATTTAGTACACCAACAGTCAAAGTCAGTGAGAGGCTTAGATATCATCTCAGACACATCAGACAAAGGGAACAGATCACCCTCTTATTACTTATTTGTTTTCTTAGACTGTCTCTCCACAGCTACAACTCCCCTCATTTTTCTCTTTGACTCATCTCGTTTTCATCTAATAGCCACCTCTCCACCTCTGCTGTCTCTACCTCCCTCCTACTTTCTTGTCTTTTGCT